ACCCCCCCGCCCCCTGCCCCTGCCCCTGCCCCTGCCAGATGCGGCAAGGGAAAATTGTCCCCGCTGGGCTTCCATCCGGTATTTCATGGTTTTTTTACTGGATGGAGCCTGTGGGGAAAGAGAAATTTTTTAAAGAAAAAAACTGAATCCAGCTTCGACCCCTCTGTAAGTTGGTCGTGACCCCCAGTTTGAGAAACGCTGCCCTAAGCAATTTACATGCAGAAGAAACATTATTTTAGAATTTTTACCATTTTGTGAAAATTATCTGTATAATTGTGACTTGTTTATTTAATGTTCACATGTATTATCAAAGGTACAGTGTAACTCTTGTGAGAGGTGGGCCACTACAAACTAACATGGCTACCCCCGGGGTCTCTTTAACTATCTTTAAGTATATACAGATGTTTGCTGTTCCAATGCAGAAGAAACATTATTTTAGAATTTTTACCATTTTGTGAAAATTATCTGTATAATTGTGACTTGTTTATTTAATGTTCACATGTATTATCAAAGGTACAGTGTAACTCTTGTGAGAGGTGGGCCACTACAAACTAACATGGCTACCCCCGGGGTCTCTTTAACTATCTTTAAGTATATACAGATGTTTGCTGTTCCAATACTGTTGAAATCACAAAAAAAATGTTCCTATATATATGTCTTATAACAGTAACAGTTTTATATTTTAAAAAAGCACTTCTATTATCGTGTCCATGTGTGAAACAGGGATGCAATAGTGTAGTCAAATAACCGATTAACTGATAAGCAAAAGCTTATAGATTAATGCTATACACACACACATTTCTCCTGCCCCCCAACAGTAAATTTTTTAGCAGGCTGGCCAGCAACCCAGCTCAGTCCTGGCTCACGCCAAGTCCTGGACTTATCCCCACTGCAGCTCTGCATTTAAAGTGTATTAGGAGCCAAGTGGGCAGGCAGCCTGGCTCAGTTCCAGCTCGTGTGGGGTCTGGGAGCTCAGCCCCACGTCTGGACAGGCAGCTGGACTTCGAGGAGGGCTGGTTTTTAAACTGGTTCCCCTTGTAGTCCAGCTCCCGCTTGGCACCCTACGCTGCTGCTTCTGATACAGAGGCAGCAGTGCAGAGTGGCAGAAGACTCCTTTGGAGGGGGGGGCTGAAGCACACCGGCTGTCAGCCTCATCCCCAGGGACTATAGAATATTCGTGTAACCGATAAGAATTCACGCTGTTAATCAACTACTCAACCAATATTTAACATCCCTAGTATGAAACAGATTGTTCCTTCCCAAATAGAGTTCTTTACATTACTCCTGATTGAATTTCATCCTCTTTAGCTCAAATAATTTGCTACATTTGGGTTCAGGGATTTGGGTTGAGGACTGGTCCTAAGGTACATTGAGTTTAAGACTCTGCTCCTAGCCGCTGGCAACCTCTGTGCTTGGGCTCTCTAGTCCAACAACATCCGAGAGTCCCAGACCAGAGGTTCAACAACCTGTACTTTGTGATTTTTTTTAGATAACTTGACTTTACCAGGTTTGGGAATATTGCATAATACTCATTGCCTATGTCAAGCTGCAGATGCAGCAGCAGCAGCACATTAGGAATGATCAGAACTACATCACACACACAAACACACTAGTGCTTGCTTTTTTTAAACTACATTTTAAATGTCAAAAATTCACATTTACAATTGCAGCAGACTTATGAGTTCTTCTGTGTAGTGTAGCGGTGCCCTGAGAGGGGCTAGATGCACTGAATGCTTCACCCTCTTTAAAGTTCTTTAAACAAGCTGTAGGAATGCAGGAAGACGCCCCTCACCAAGAGTGGAGGCTCTGGTATTCATTGCACCCCCTAGAGTGTATTTATTTACCTGCCCTATAGGCAGGCGCAAGGAGCTCCTGGCCCTCAGGGACCTTTGATGGACTTTGGAGACTCCTCTATTTTTTCCGTTAAAAATAGTTGCGCAAAATCATGCCAGTGTAGACGCAGCCCTTGGGTTGCCAGATACTGTCACAGAAATACAGAACAGGGCTGAAAAAAATGGGTTGGGCAAAAAAACACAGGGAGCCAAACTGGTTGAGCAAATAAATAAATAAATAAATAAAATGGGAAAAAAAAAAAAAAAAAAAAAAGGGGTCACTGTGCCTTTAACTCCACTCTCTCCCCTCCACTCCCCACGCGACAGGGGAACAACGTCCCGTGCCACTTTCCGTCTGAGGAAAACCGACAATACCCGGCCAGTATCGCTCACCTGGCAGCCCCGCCTTCCGGGCGGGACCAATCAGTGTCACGCGGGGGGGCGGTGATAGATCGGGCAGCCGCGCTCG